AGGCCGCCAGCAGCCCCAGCAGCCCTGTGGGCTGGCCCTTTGCCCAGGCTAAGTTTAACTGTGAACTGTATGAACTACCCTCTTGGGGGCGAGGTAGGTGTGGAGAGGAATTCAACAGACTTCCTGTCTGTTTCCTAGCAAGTCAGACAAAAACCTGCCAGTGGCCCAAATTTATTTTCAACGCCATCACCTGATGTCCTAGGCCAGAGGGCAGCACTTCCGGCCAAGGCAGAGGCAGATGTCCTTGGAATTCGGGTGGGGGCCATGCACATACACATCACCCTAGCTCCTGAGAGGTTACCAGCTACCTGTGCCATCTCCTGATTACCACATATCAGAACACCCCACCTTCTTCTGCCCAAGGCCACCATGTTCCATATGAACTGGGTTGGGAAGTTAGTCCGCAGCCCTCCTTGTAGTGGGCACTCAGTGGCTATCATCTGTTCTTGACTTCAGCTTGGCCCTCCTCCCCTATCCCCAGGCTTACTGCAGCCAGCCAGCCTATGAAGAGTTTAGCCAGGAGTAAGGTGACACCTGGGAAGCAGGTGATAGTTTAGTGGAGGTGAGTCAGTGGGAACTCCGAGCCTGCAGAAGGCTCTCCCAGCCAGGCTCCGAAGGCTGGGGGGCAGGGCGGAAAGAGCAACGTGCCAAGGAACAGCAACAACAGTGGAGCATTTTGTGCACTCAAAGCACTTCTGAGCGTCGGTTCCTCCACGCCCCGAGACTTGGGCAGGGCTGAGGGGAAAGGAGCTGACATTTGTGTGGGCCAAGCACTGTGTAAAGTACCTGCAGGGCATTCTCCCACTTGACCTTCCAAGCATCCTTGTGGAGGAAGGAATGATCTGAACACCTTCTCCCAGTAAGGAAGAGAAGCTAAGTGATCCCCTGAGATCATGCAGCAAGAGGCAGCGTTCCAGGCCAGGTCTGCCAGGTCCATAGCTGGATGCTCTGTATCCTTGGTGTTCCTGACTAGCCTTGTCTGTAACCCCATCATTAGTATTTTCCTGGGTCCTGCCAGAGTTCCTTGTAGGGGATTCCTGCAGACCTCAGCAGGCAAGACTATTGGGTAATCCCAACCCATCCCAGCTACCTAAGAAAATTTCCTTAAGGAAGGCTGAGGGGAGCAATCGCTAAGGCTTCATGTGCAGTATCTGATTGGACTTTTTCAGCCTACAGATACTATTCTTCCTATTTGACTGTTAGAGAGACTGCAGTTTGGAGTTGACGGATTTGTCCAGGATGATATGCAGAAGGTGAATACTCGAGGTTCTAGCCTAGTCCATCTCCTCCCAGTCCTTCTTTTTAACCCCTGGTTCTGAGTCCTGAACCTTGCTTACCCCAGCACAAGGGGCCTGTCCACCTCCAGCAGACACGGGGACACACAAGTCACACATCTCTGAAAGCCACTGGATAAAGAGAAAGGCATCCAAGTCTGAGGCTTGGTGTGGGTATCTTCTCTACTGGTTGTCATGGAAACTGACTTGCTCCTAGGATGAATTGCCAAGGATGCCCTTTGACTGGTCAAGACCTGCTGTGCAAAAGGAGGTTGCCCTAAAAGACTCCCAGCCCCACGAATAGTCTCCTAACCGGCATTCTGTCACTATCCATTTACAGCTTAAACCTGCGATCCATGTTTATCTGCCCTCTCTGCTTTGCCTCAGACCACCCTGACTAAACCTACTTGGCTGTTTCTCTAATGTAGAAACCAGGGCTTGCCTTGTGTCAGCAATTACCAAGCACACCACTCCTTGGCTTGAGGATGGAAAGCTGGCTAGCTGCCCCTGAGCTTTTTCCACACACACCCCTCCCTCTTCCAGTCTGCTTGCCTCCACTTTCTCCCTTTCCCCCATTTCCTGTTCTTCAGAGCTCACCTCTGAGCCTGAACTTGTCTCTGCTTGAATTCCCCAGCGGCCAGACCTCTTCCAACTCTTGTGGATCCTGCTGACACATCCATCTGTGGATGGGTGGGGCTGGATGCGTCACATGCAAGCAGCAGCCTTGCCAAGAATAGTTGGCAACCACCTCAGGTGTCTGCATCATGCTTCTTGCTGGGGACACCTTGCTGAGGTATCCTTGCCTAGTGAGAGACCTCTGCTTCTACTTACCATTTGGGCAAGAATTTCATTGTACAAATCAAAGGTCAGGGGTTCAAGCCACAGGTCGTAGGGCTCCTATCAGCAAGTGTTGGTGTGTTTTAGGGGTGATGGGAGAAGCCCTGTGGGTTCCCTTTGTCTGATCATTTTAGTGCCTCACTGATGAGCATTTGTTCTTTTGCTCTCTCTGTTGAGATCCCAGGCTGGACAAGGGATAGGGCTGGTTGTGAATCCCTGAGGTTCCTGCCTGGAATAGGGGGAGGAGATCCTGGGTATATGCAAGCCTTATAGGTAAGTGCCCTCTTATCTGAGGAGGGATGTTTCTTAGACTCCCCTGGTAGTTCTGAACTCTGTATGCACTGTTTTTCCTGTGCACGTGTACATAGCTTTAATGCTTTTCCACTTCAGCATCCTCCACTGATCACACACACTGGCTACCACTTTTGTAGTTTGGGGTGCAACACGGCTAACAAATTTCCTTTCTGTCTTCACAATTTCACAGGTAGAAGATTGTTTCTTAATGTACAATATTAGCTACCTTGGCATGTGATTTTTTTCCCCCCTTACAAACTTTCATCTTAGCCAGGCGCTAGTGGTTCACGTCTGTAATCCTAGCTACTCAGGAAGCTGAGATTTGAGGATTAGGGTTTGGAGCCAGCCCAGACAGGAAAGTCTGTAACACTCTTATCTCCAGTTAACCAGCAAAAAGCCACAAGTGGAGCTGTGGCTCAAGTGATAGAGCATCAACCATAAGCAAAAAAGCTAAGGGACAGCTCCCAGGCCCTGAATTCAAGCCCTAGTACCAACACACACACACACACACACACACACACACAC